CTGAACGCCGGATGTTAGAAGGGAATTCCTGTCTTAGAAAAGAGAAGGCCTCAGCACGGGTTGTTAAAACAAGAAATTTAATCTATAGTTGTCCAAGCATAATGACATCTTTCTTTTTTTCATCCATTACGCAGTTTATGCTCGGTACGACGGATCACTAAATTGATCCGTGCTGAAGCTTTTTTTCTTCTAGGACATGTTATGCCGGGAGAGCTGTATTAAGATCACCGGAATTTGAGCACTGGTGTTGAGAGTTGTATTAAGGTCACTGTTGCGTACTCAGTCCTTTAGTTTCTATTAGTAATCAAGTGTGTACAGGTCCCCATCGTGTGTGATCTAGTAGCAACAGCGCGAGAAGGACAATGTTGCGGTCACAAATAGCAAGTCAACTGTTCGTTGTGTTCCATCCACCGAAGTAGGCGGGTTCAGTGGGTATATCTGTTGAGTTGGCGTGTTCAGATCACGTTGGGTCGCCAATATGGCGAATTGGTTACCTAATAAGTCACCTATGTCGATTATATCAACTATCTATGAAAAATTACAGCTAAACAGAATCAAGTTAGACGCCCGGTGGCTGAGCGGTAGCGCTTCGCGCTGTCGTGCCACAGGTCCCTGGTTCGATCCTCGGGCCGGGCAAGGCTGACTCAGCCTTTCATCCCTTCAGTGGGTCGATAAATGAGTACCAAGCACGCTTGAGAACTAAACACTGGGGGTTCCGCGTTCGGCTGACCACCTGACCAGAACATCTGCTCCTGCACCTCAGAGCCCAAGGTCAAGAAAACTGAGATGGGCACAGTAGACTTTGGCCCGCAAGGGCTGTCGCGCCGCTGAGTTTAGTTTTAGTTAGAATCAAGTTAAGAAATGTTATATACTATTGTATTGGAATTGAATAATTGTAGTGGTAGCTAAGCTATCATTGCAAAAATGCAACTTTAGGGATGATGACATATTTAGCTATGCAATTATTCAGATCGGCTGAAATAAGAGTGGGAAGTTTAAAGCTTTTTCCTTTTTTTAATACCACTATAATTAAAAAAATCAGCATTCATTTACAAATGTTGCAATTATTTAGAATGTTTCCAAGCAGCCTCACTGCATGCTGACCATAAAGACTCAACACAAACTGTACTCAAATTTATGATGAATGAGATAAGGGCCGCTTTTCGGCTCAAGTGTCCGGGTAAATTGCTCCATCAGGATAGAAAGAATGATTTCAAATTGCTGGTATTAACGCTAGAAAGGAGTTATTAAATTCGAACGCTTATTTGGTTCGATATGAAGTTTGTAGGGGTAAAAAGGACACCATTTCTGAAAGCTTGAAGCATGGCATTTTAAATTATGCCAGCAGTTTCACCATGTAAAATCTTTCGAAGCTGTTGTTGCTGAATAAATTGTTAGGATAGTATAGAGCTGTTTCTTTTATTTTGATAACCATATGCAATTTTCTAGGTTCTGGCAGAACGACTCCAGCAAAAATAAACTATTTTTTTAATTTGTTCTTGTTATATTCTGCCGTTCAGGTGGCCAAGCGGTTAGCGTACTGGACTGAGAAGCCAATGGCTGCTGGTTTGAATCCCGCTCAGGACATGGATGTTTCTCGCTGTGTTGTTGTGTGTGATGTGTGTATGCGGCACACACTATAAACGTGCAGTGTGGCGTGTGTAATATTGATCGCATTCGTAACTTTGGTTGCAAGGTACTCCCCAGGCAGCGCAAAAGGAGCAACACTTCCGGCACTTTCCATGGCAAAGAACGATAATTTCAGTGCCTTTCTTCAAAAAAAAAAAAAAGAAAAATAATAAATAAAACAAAAAAAAAACTGTTACATTCTTATTTAATATCATTTTTACTTAATATTCCACTTTTGCCTGTTTTGAAAATTTTTTTGCTCATCATAATAACATTTTCAAATTTTAAATCTAATAAAATTTAAATCTAATTATATACTAATCTTTTAAATTTAAAGAGAAAAGACAAATTGAAAATGTCAATCATGTCTAAAGGTTTTTTTTATGCAATAATTTAAGTGTATGAAAGAAATAACATATAATAGCTTAGCAAGCTAATTGGAAATCGAATTACTTATAATAAAGTAATAAAGAGGTCATTTTTATGACTGTGTACTAATTAGGATTAAAATCTTTTATTCAAATGGAGGTAATATATTTTTGACACTTTCTCAATGATAGCATGCAAACGATTGCTGTCAAAATTTATAAAGCATTTTTCATTGCATTAAGAAAAATTATATTTTATTGTGATATAGTTTTTAAATGAGTTTCTCATTCATTCAAGCTATTTTTTTTAGCGTTAAAGTTAAGAATTAATTTAAAATATCTTTCTATGCCTTTTATTGATTATTAAATCAATGTACAGTAATAGTTTTTATCCAAAACAAGAAATAAAAACTGATTATGGATCACGCAATTGCTTATATTTAAATTTCAGTTCTAAAATAAAGTGGACTTTTTATTTTTATAGTGAGCATTGGTGCTTTGCGTTTTTAATCTTACTGAATGTTAATATTAAGTTTTAGAAACCTTTTTTTGTCTCTGAAAGCATAACCTAATTTTCCTTCAAAATTGTTCTCGCGATATGCATTTTGTGGGTAAAGAGGCAATTGGATACTTACAACTGAAGAAGAAGAAGCTCACTGATAGATAGACAATTAACTTATGACCTCAGCGCCAGTTGGTTTCTCATAAATAAGATGGCGCTTTATATTTTATATAATCCTGTCTAAGTTCGAATTAAATTTCCACATAAGTATTTTAATTAATGAGAAGTTAATTAAATACAACACTGTGTAGCGTATCAAATTTGTTAAAAAAGAATTCTTTCTTGTCTACGTTTCTTATTTAACCGAAATTTATTATTTTCTAATGCCACGGTGATTATTTTTGTTTTGTGTCTTTGGTAATTAGTAATTTGTGTAATTAGTTCATTCATGTTTTGCAGTGTTTCATGACTGTTTTTGTATTAAGTAAGAAATAAACGAAATCTTTCTTTGTGAAAGAATATATAATGTGTTACTTAAGACAAATCATATTTGATTGGCTAGGCGTACCCAAAATAGAATGAAAGAAAGATTTCTAGCATAAGCAAATGCTACGCTTCAACAGCCAATCACGATCGACGCACACGCTGACGGTACTTGCAAGTATCTAATTTTTCAATATTTTAGCGATATACTAGGTATTTCAAAAACGAGGATCAGCGTTTTGATACATGCTGCAAAAATATGACATTTTTACATAATAGGGATTAAATAAAAATCTTTCAAGCTGATAATGGAACATTTTAGTTATTATTTTTGAATTTGTGCTGCGTTGGTTGTCATTCACATTACCGAAATGAAGCATCTCTATAGCTGCATTTTCTTTTTATTTAAATTGAGTTTAATATTTCCTCTGTCTTATAATATTAAAAAAATAAGATTGAGTGTGTGCAACCTGATTTTGATTGTGGTTAATTTTCTCCCTATAGTACTGGTACTATTTGGGATTATTTTAGTTTTTATGTATTATTCACTGTCTGGCTTAAGGTTGAGTTTTGCTATAACAACTTCAACTCTTCTTATATTTCGAGCTGCGATGATCTCACGATTTCAGCGTTTTTCAACACTTTCTAAACTCTTAAAGATGTACTCTTACGCACTTAAAACATCGACATGAAATTTTTTAATGTGTATGTATGCATGGATCATTGTCAGCATTTTGATTCAAATTTATTTTACAATATACGCTGTTGAAATGGCATCGAAACCAATTTATTGGAAATCAGCTGTGATTAATTATGAGTTAAATAATGCCAATTATTACATTGTAATAGGTTTATTATTTGGAATTTATACAGAAGTATGCCTGATATTACCTCTGAACAACTTTGCTGCTTTATATGTAACCATCACGTACCAACTGAAAAAACATTTTGAGGAAATGAAATTTGAGATTACGAAAGGAACTGATGATAAAGTTCAAAATGTTTTGAAGAAATATACCGCGTTGATATCTGTAATAGCCAAAATCGACAATGAACTCTCGTTTTTTCAGTTTTTATTAGTAAGTTTTGGCGCGACAGTAGTTTTCTACTCTGTAGTTTCTTTTCTGCATCCTGATATAGTTTTCGACCCATCTCAGAGCATAACGATGCGATGCATATTCGTTCATCAACTCATAAACTTCATTGCAACTTCAGTTTCTGCTGCAGACATGTCAGAAACAGCAAAAAGCGTTTTCATCGAATTCTGTAAAATGTCTCAAACTGGACATTATTCCAGCGTTGCAGTTCAGAAACTATCATTTTTAGCAAAGGAAAATATCTATCTGACAGCATGGAATATTGTACCTATTACGTATAGTTTTATGTTTTGTATCATTGGCAGTATATTGACGTACGTCATTTTAATTGACAGCTTAAAATTGTATTAATGAAATTGAATGGATCTTACCTTTTGCTACTGACATAGCTGCTGTTATTTGCAATAACAACTAATGCTTGTATTGTGTATTATCTATTACTAATTGCTTAGAAACTTTCCTATCTGGTATGAAAGATAGAAATATTGCACCAATTAAGAGAATTGTTATTTTTGAGAAACAATATATATTGACATATGTTGTTTTAGTGATAGTTTCTCTTTATTTACATAAGTAAAGAAATTGAGAAAAACACAGTAGTATACTGATTAATTATCTTATAAAAACTCCATTTTGCCTTGTAAAACTGAGGAGATAGTAAGAAATTTTAATGTGTGAGTAATGGTATTTCTGAATGATTGCTTAATCTGTTACTGAATTTCATTATACTTCATTATGTACATGAATAAATCTCGCAAGTGGTTTCTTATTAGAAACCACTTGCACCAAACTATTTAATTATGATAACCAAAAGGTTATCATAATCAAATTTGAAAATACTTAAAGTATGAAAAAGTATTTTAAAATTTAAATGCTGCCACGTGTAAACCAAAAAATACACATATTCAGTAAATTGCAGTATTAAGTTTATCACAAATGTTTATTAAAGATCCAGATTGCAGTGATATTCACGCTTGAAATTATATCAACACGTGTGTAATCAATAATAACATTGTACAGCATGAAAAATGTCTTTTAGATGAAAATAATGTTTATCTTATATAATTCATTGTCGAATCTGTGATTATTTTTTGTTTACCACGCACTACATTTTCAAATATCCTTGCGCTCTCCTTGTCAGTGTGACTTCGCCAACTTGGCGATCTTTTGGATGACTTTGATGACATTTTTGGTGACAAAAGTCCTAACTAACTTCTCGAAGTCTCGAGGCCTTTCATGTATTGGAAATTGAGATGTTTGAAAATTGACTAGAAGCTTGACAAATTCTCTCGCTATATGATGGTCCATTGTGGATTTGATATATGAATATGGAACCTTTTGTTTATACGAAATCACACAGAAATTTTTTTTTACAGATTTGTTGTACAGTGTAAGTATACAATTTGTTTTAATTTCAATAAAAAAAGCATGAAAATAAATAAAATTATATGTTTACAAAGTTTGTTTTGATTTATAATTCGATATCATTTAACTGTTTATATTGAGATGGAGAATATTTACATCTTTAAAGGAATAGGCACTGTATATGCTCTTATTCAATGTGAAGGACACATATAAACAAATAAAATGAACACTTTCATTATTGTATTTGATTATGTGTAACAACAATGAAAACCTCATTCAGAATATTTCCTTATACATTTAAAGAACTTCAAGTGGACATGGAGTAATCCAGGGGTCCCCAACCTTTTTGTACCTAAGAGCAAATTCCAGATAATCGGTTGAATGGCGGGCACCCTTTATTTTTTCAAGATAAATTTATAGTTGGTAGATATAGGTATTAATACACACACTACACATAGCGCATACAATTTTTAATTTTAAAAATTAACTGAATATAATTAGTATTAATATTCTTGTGTAAATAAATGATTACTGAATTGCTTGAAAAACATACGAAGTATAAAAATTATTTATAAAATACAGTCAATGTGATCTTTGTCATTGCATTTCACTGTCTATCGTTTCCTAATTGCGAGAACATGAGGAAATTCCTACTTGCAAGCAATCGTCAGTAAGTTTGTCTTTTCCCTGCAGTTCCAAGTTTAAATTATTTAGTTTTTCAATTATGTCTGTTACGAAAGACAAATCTGCTAGCCAAAGAGGATCTGTTAGTTCTAAAAATACTTGATTTTTGGCTTCAAGATAATTTTTTATTTCTTCGATTAAATGTATAAATCTATCAAGTACTTTGCCTTTACTGAGCCAGCGTACTTCAGAATGTAAAATGAAGTTAGCATCATCAGGATTTTTTTGTAACAGGGCCTTGAAAAGTCGAAGTTGCAAAGGTGCTGCTAGAATTAAGTTAACTATTTCAGTAATAATTTTCATTACGTGTAACTATTGTAGTAATTTACAGCATTCATTTTTGCATATCATTTTATGGGAAAATGGAAAACTTAAATATTGTATTTTATCGTTGGGCACAAGCAGCGGGCTCACCTAGACCGATCGACGGGCGCTATGGTGCCCGCGGGCATAGGGTTGGGGATCCCTGGAGTAATCCAACCTCCAAACAGTTTATCAAGTTCCATACCCGTGGATATTGTCAGTCTATCTTTGAAATGTCCACTCACCGCTTGTATACCAATAGGCAAACCATCACACATACCAGCAGGTATGGTAGTTGCAGGAAATCCCAAAACATTAAAGATGGCAGTATATCCAACATTAACTAAGTTAGGAATAGTTAAGTGATAAAATGGTGGAGGTTCTGGATGTGTTGGCACTAAAAGTACAGAATCTTCCTTAAATATTTCTTGAAATTTTTTTTCCAGAACTCCATATTGTCGCAAAAGGTCATAGTACCGTTGGTCTCTCTCTCTTATTTCAATCATTGAGTAGTAAATGAGATGAAGCGTATGATGTGAGAGGTGAAAGATATTTTTAAGAAGTTCTAACAATAAATTGGTTTTACCGTCTTTATGTGCTAAACATAGTTTAAACGGAGGAATATCTGTTTCTAATAGTTTGCATTGCCACATGTCTAAAGCATTCTTTAACTCTGGAAGTTTTAATGGAATGGCTTTTATGTTATATTGTTCTTCAAAGAAATGAGCAGCCTGCAATTAAAAAAAGAACAAATAATGTATAAGTAGGTTTTGTATTAATGAAAATTCTGGATACAAAGAACTTGACTGTCTATCTAAAGAAATGAGTAAAGAAAAGCAGGATGAGCTAGAAATATACAAATTTCTGCATTCTTCTTAAACTAGAAATTTTACTTTCAGCGAACAAAGAATTTTGTGATTTAATTACAAGTTTTGTAAAAAGATGGCGTTGCTGACTCAAAAAAAATATAAGCTATGTCTTCCATTGCTGCATGCTAAACCATTTCAACAGTAGGATTTTCATTGTTCTGAGATTAAAATATGGTGTTGCTACAAATGCTGGTAATTATAAACATAGTGTTTGTTATTTTCAGTCAGCAGTGTCATCTATTGGCAAGGTTATCAATCAGTTTTTAAATTTGGTGAGAAAGAAATTTCTGGTTTTCTAAGTACACTGTAAAAACTGTGGTAAACTTATCCGAATTTAATGTTAAAAAACTCTAAAAATTAAGGGTTATTTCAAAGTAATATTGAATTCCGTGTTCATACACACTTTAAAGGGTGTAGTTAAGTCTCAACTCCAAAGAATTAGAAAGCTTACTCCAAGTTTTTGCTTCCGAAAACACCAACATTAGTGGATTTCGGATATCGCCAGTAATTTGCTTTAATCGAGTAAGAGTTGACGTGATTGTTGCTTTTTTCCATGCCCCTATACAATATTTGCTGAAACAAAATTTAATTAATTAAAAATTTATTTTCTATAATATGTATTTTTTTATTGTATTATGTTTTTTAATATTTATATAATAATTTTCATAAATGTCTCTGAGCTGAATATTTGAATACAGTATTTAATGCGTATAATACTGAACTGAATACAGTATTTAATGCGTATCCGATTCAGTTATGTAAACCCTTGTTCGAAATGTAATAAAAGTAACTTTACTGATTCTTATATGTATCATTTCTTACTGTAACTATAAATTTTAGTGTTACTTAATAACAAACATAGGGATGACTGCTGAACACCAAGTAGTGTAAAGGAACATTCTATGTGTTTCACTAAAACAAGAACTATTCTCGGATTTTCTGCAGTGTAACACTTAGCAGCTAAGTAGCTGTAATAAACTTGTGTTCAGCTGCGCGATTTTTTTTGCAGTGCTCAAAAGAGCATACTGTGCTCATTTACTGCCTGTATATTTTTTTTCCAATTTTTTTTAATTGATTTAAGTAGTCGGACATTTTTGGGATAGCCGGTAATGCAGAACTTAAATAAAAAAGAATAAAAAAAAACCTAAGCAGATCAGTCAATCCGCCATTCCATTCAAATCATTTATGCTTAAAAAATAATTAGAATAAAAAATTAGGACATAATAAATTATAAAAATACTAGTGAGCTATCACTCGCCAACGCTGAACTGCCTTTGGTGTTCCGTTTATATCGCTATAGATTAACCTATTCATTAAAAAAAACCTAGCGTTTGCTAAGTTTCAATTTTTTGATTTACAACTATCCGCAAATGTAAAAAAGGTGTTTAAAATGAGATAGCCTTTAAAATTTACATGCACATTGTTTAAATATTATAAACCTTCACGAAAACTATCCTTTTCAAAATAATTTATGAATATCATATCGTTTGAAAAGTATACAAATGATTTTTACCTTTCTAATAGCTTGTTTTATAGCTGGATCAGCTGGTATATCAGGAAATTCTTCTATGTAGTATACTTTCACTTTATGAAAATCGACCTAGAAGAAAACGGGTATGCAAATTTACATACTTGTTGGTCACTTTTCCATCGGGGAAAAGAAAATCATAAATAATATATTAATGCGTGAAATCAACACTAGCACATTTTTTCTAGCTTCTTTGGCTAATTCTGAAAGAAAATATTAGCCAAAATAAAAAATAAAAAAAATTAAACAGTTTTTACTATTATTCTTTCCCGGTAATTTTACCCTATAAAATTAGTAAACGAAGTACAACTCATAATTTTTTTCTACCATTGTTGAACAGCCAAACCAATTTTCGGTCTACGGCTGCGAATGTTCAACTACGCTGCCTTTTAATTTTGAACCCAATCCAGAAGACTAGGAAACCTCTGGATCAAGTATTGGGAGAAATAAGCCTACGTGGAATATTTTTTGATCGAACTAACCGGCATGATCTACATGGAGAGGAAGACCACGAGAACCTCCCACGGTTAGCCTGTCAGCAAAGGGACTCTAACCCATGATCCGTTTACCACTGAGGATATTTCACGTCAACACTGTGGTCAGTGCAAGCTGGATGCGGATTCGTATCGACCAGCCATCGCCGGGATTTGAACCCGGTTTAATTCAATGGAAGGCAAATGCTCTATCCCCTGAGCTATCGCGGCTCTCATAAAAAAATTTTAATAATATTATATATTATGTAAGGCTGTAATAATATACAACTATACACTATCAAACAGCTAGAAAATAAAGCTATTTTTTTGCTGCCAATGCATGAGACTCAAGATATATACCATATAGTTAGGCAATTTTTTCCGACGATTTTTCTCGTGTTTCAAAAGCATAACTACAAATATATGAAACACGTGTTTTAAAATAGTTTTCAAACTATTAAATGTATGGCGTCATCCTATTCCTGTCTATGGATAAATAACAAAATCGATTAAAATATATAGCTATTAAGAAACGCTCAAAATTGAAAATTGTTTTTGGTTTTAAGATGAGTTAAAAGCTTAATATCATTGATGTTCGCTTCTAAAGAATAGAAAAGATAGAATCAACTGAAGTTTAATTTGCAACAAAGCTGATTGCTAAAACCTACGCGAAAAGCTCACACATGCAAGAACAAATTTCTTCCTTCATTAATATGGAAGATAATAGATTAAAACAAAATAGACAACTCTGAATTTTAATTATTTCTCTTCAGATAAATTATGTTAGAAACCAAAATTTAAAAGGAAAATAATATGTTTATTGTGGGCATGCGCACAATGTTTAAAAGGAAAGTAACATGTTAATAACCTTTGTGGGCAGATTAATAGTTTGATTGGTTAGCCACATCTACTGATAAATAACAAGACGGATAAATAACAAAGCAACAACATTTTTTAAACATCAACTTTTTAAGCAACAACTTTTCTACATATAAGCAACAACTTTTTTTCCGTACTAATGCAGTTATGTTCATCCGGTTCGAAGAAGCAAAATAGTGTTTTTTTAAAATAATAAATTCCTTTTTATAATAAAAATTTTATTAATTAATTCTTCGATATCAAATTGTGATTTTCTTTTGAAGTTAAAAACGATTTGAAGCATGCTTATGTTAACGAGTTGAATGCCACGCTAATTTTACATGGCTTGCCCGTCTGGCCAAAATGATTTCGGTGTGTTCTATATTGCATTAATTTCTTCAAACCATTTTAGTAACTATAATAATGTAAAAGAAATTAAATGCATTAAAAATTTACTCAAATTAGGTGCTTCTAATAATCTTGGCTTCCCCGGTCACCGGTGATCCCCGTGACATTTAACATGTTAAAGAACCTGGTGATACGTAATCTCGCATTATGGACAATGCTCAAAATAAGCCAGTGAAGTATAAAACGACTAAATATTTCTCATATTTCCCTAATATTGTGTACAATTCCAAATGATAAACAAAGCATAAAATATCCATATTTAAATAGCATGATTATGATGTATTAGTATTAGTTGAAATAAATTTTTAAATGAAGCAAGTAGATTCAAGTTTTATCTTGTTTTCCTTACTACAGGCGATATAAATTTTTATTAATTGTTTTATTATTAATAACAATCAGATTAATTATAATAATAATTTTCTGTCATCCATCGACAAATTTTGTAACTAGTTTCAAAATTTGATGAGAATAAGGTACAAACAATTCATTTCGTTCTATATAAGGTTAGTTTCTTCGTTCGGTTTGTTTTTCTGTAAAAGTTATTACAAATCATTGGTTGATTTTTGTTAGATTCGGTAACAATGAAATGTTTTCTGAAATAAATTCTAATTTGAAATGTTTCTTAAAATCAAGAATTGAAAATTATTTTCACCTTATTTTCCAACTGTAGCCTTTGATCATTTTCGGATAGAATTTTCAAAAGAAGAGGTAGATCTTCAATGTATCGGCACATGGGGCCAGTACAGGAAATGTGATCTACTTTCTTACTGTGTACTTCATGATATGGATACTTTCCAACATTTGACACAACCTCTAAGAACATATAAAACATATTTTAACGTAAATAATAATGTTATAAAAGTAAAATTTACTATCAAGATGTTGAAGAACACCATGATTTGTTATTCAAACACACACTGTAACGAACAGTCATTGCATATATACAATTATATCAACCTTATGGTCGAATTTTTTAATATTTTGTTTTACGAAAATTTTTTTTCTTCCAATGCCCACCTTTTAGAATGACCCATCTGGACATCATATAGGCATATGAAGGGCAGATTTATTGGCTATTCTTTCAGGGCACCATATTAGGTGGGCCAACGTTGCTCCCACAATAAGGATAGATAGTACAGAGAATGAAAGAAACTCCATGCCTCGCCTGGGATTCGAACCCAGAACCTTTCTGATGCAAGGGCAGTTCCCTAACCCCTACACAAGCCGGTCGGCTGTTTTAAGAGATAAAAGATTCAATGAATAAATATTAAAGTTAGTGATTAAGAAAGCTTCTTAGCAGAAAGATAAATTGTTTCGTATTTTCATCGTGTTTATACGAGGTAATAAGTAAAGAACATAAACAATAAAAGAATAACAGATGCATTACCGGCCGTTGGTTTATGGCCGTATATGCCATTAAAAGAAGAGGGCATTCGAATACTTCCACCTACATCGCTTCCTATGCCAATAACAGCTCCACCAGTTGTTAGAAGAGCTCCTTCACCTCCTAAACATTCAAACAATACCTATTATTAAGAAATTTTCTACTCAGCGAAAAAACAGCACTTATTAGACGCAAGTGAATATTTTTAAATATATTTAGGTATTTTAGATGCAACAAGAAAATATCNTCCAACTAGGTCCACAAATGCTCTATTGGATTAAGGTCAGGTGAATTTGGGGGCCAAGACATGACTTGAAAGTAACTGGAATGTTCCTCGACGATTCGAACCTTATGACATGGTGCATTATCCTGTTGGTAAACACCATCCCCCTCAGGAAAAACTGTTTCCATGAATGGGTGAACCTGGTTTGCAACTATGTTCAAGTAGCTTACAGAGGTCAGGGATTGTTCTATGAGGATTCTGATGCAAGGGCAGTTCTCTAACCCCTACACAGGCCGGTCGGCTGTTTTAAGCAATAAATAAATGAATAAATGAAATTTCTGTCAAAATGCGTGGCGGAATGTGTTTTTATAATAATGGGCGTATTCCAAGCAAAGATATTATCTAGATGAGTTAAAATTTGCTGTATTAGTCTACTGTAGTGTGTACTACATACAAGTAACTAGTTAAGTTAATACAAAATTCAGGAATTTTTTGTCTTGTTTTATTTTCAACCCAGGTTTGAATCCTTTGGAAAATTTCATCATTAGACAGATTATGGGTTTGAGTTTTCTTGCCAACGATTAACCATGGGAAGTTTTCGAAGTCTTCATTTCATTTTAATACCAATGCGGACATGATTTACTCAAAATCGTTCATAAATCGAATTTTTAGAGGGTTAATTATTGCTAATTTATCTTAATAGCACTGGGAAAAATATTTTTGTTTCATGTTTCATGAGATTTTTTTAAATAGATCTTACTCTCGTATCGCTGGTCACAATAATCGGTTTCTCTCAAAGCTATAGTTCTTTAATGATATTTTTAGTCTGTGTTTTGTCGAAATGTACAAGTTTCAACACGTTATTTGCAACGGAAGATTGCATAAATGTTGTGACCTTCTAGGAGAATAAGGGATCATACACTGCTAAGGGTGTTTTTCTATTATGAACTGTTTCTTCATGTGTTTCTGAATAGGTCGTATTAAGAAAACGCTCCTAGCCGTGTACGATGACATTTCTGGAGATGGGTTCCTATGTCATTTTAATCTTGATGATGTGCCCTAGCTCCCCAAAAGTTTATAGCAACATTTATGGGACCTTCTGTTGTAGACTTGTATATTTCGATAATACATAAACTAGGAATGACATTTTAAAAATATGTTTTCAGTTTTAGAAGCAAAACTAATTTAAGATTTGAAATTTTCACACCCGAATTAGGAAAGATCATTTTTTTGTATGAGTGCAACAAAAAATTTGCTCCCTTGTGTAATCACCAGATTTTTTAAAGTTTTTTTTTTCAATATTAGCTGACGACTCCGGATATGCATAGCTTCGATTACGTTTTGACTACATCGTCTTCCATCAGCATGACAGCCCTGTAGAGGCCAAAGCCGTACCGACAAATCCTTTCCATCTTGCTCAATCAAACACGAGGTTTCTCCATTGATGGCACCCATGGTTTTAAGATCTTTTTACAAGAAATCAATCCATCTGGTGTTTGGTCGTCCTCTTTTTCGAATGCCAGTATACTTTCCTAAATTCAGCCTCGTAACTGGGTCATCCTCATTTAATTTGACTAAGATCAAACACGAGGTTTCTCCATTGATGGCACCCATGGTTTTAAGATCTTTTTACAAGAAATCAATCCATCTGGTGTTTGGTCGTCCTCTTTTTCGAATGCCAATTTACTTTCCAAAATTCGGCCTCGTAACATGGTCATCATCATTCATTTTGACTAAGATTCAATAAATAAATATTAAAGTTGGTAATTAAGAAAGCTACTTAGTAAAAAGATAAATTTCGTCTTTTCATCGTGTTTATACGAGGTAATAAGTAAAGAACATAAATAATAAAAGCAAAGCAGTTGTATTACCGGCTGTAGGTTTATGTCCGTATATGCCATTAAAAGAAGAGGGCATTCGAATACTTCCACCTACATCGCTTCCAATGCCGATAACCGCTCCACCAGTTGTTAGAAGAGCTCCTTCGCCTCCTAAACATTCAAACAATACCTATTTTTAAGAGATTTTCTACTCAGTGAAAAAACAACACTTATTAGACTCAAGTGAATATTAGTAAATATATTTAGGTATTTTCGATGCAACAAGAAAATATCAACATGATAATGCAACAAAAACCAGTAACAAGAAAATATCTATAAAGATCACGATTATTTAGATAAATTCAAAAAAGTAAATGAGTTTAATATAAAATGTATTACAGGTTCTAATGTTTTTCTTTTCTTTTTTTTTAATAAATTTCTCTGGGGAATAAATTAATAAACTATATTCATCCTAAATTTATTGTCTCCCTTTAAAGGAAAATGTGCTTAGAAGTACCGTATCTACCTCTTCAAATGCTCCAAGTGCTATAATGGGATATTAATATAATTATTAATACTTAATTTTTAATAATTTTTAATTTTTAATACTTCTTCTAAGCAGTTATGTATAATAATCATTAAACATTCAGCATCTAATTCGTCAGGCTTTTGAATAGTTGTGCCTTTTTTTTCTAAGTCACCTTTATTAGGAATAGTTCTTGAAGATTTTAACAAAATTGCGGGGAAAAAATCTTGCGGCATACATATGCTGTTTCAAAACTGCAATAATAATTGATAAACAAATCATGTAAATTTCGATATTGATTTCCAGTGTAGCGTCAGTAGGGTTCTATGGGTTTTAACAAAGCTATAGTTGATTATGAAATTAATATTCCCATGCCACTGTAAAAACTATACCGAGCCATACTGTGACACCCGTACCCCAAATCGACCATTCATGACATAGAAATAGAAACATATTGTATAACACAGAGCTTTCGCCTCCCAATGAAGTTGCCCTAGTTTGTATCAAAGCGATGGCTGATCGATACGAATGCCGCACACAACCCGCACCGACCACAGCGCTGACGTAAAATATCCTCCGCAGTAGACGGATCCTGGGTTAGGGTGCCCTTGTCGTCAAGCTAACTATGGGAGGTTTTCATGGTTTTCCTCCATAGATAACGCAAATATCGGTTATTTCCATCACAAAGTCTCCCACGAAGATAAATTTCTCCAAATACTTGATCCAGAAGTTCATTTGTTTTCTGTTTAGGGTTAAAAAATATAAAGCTACGGAGTTAAGCACTGGCAGTCCTAAACTCATAAAATTGGGTCGGCTGTTCAACGACTGTTTTAACATAGTATATAATATGTATTGTATCTGGACTATTTAATTTTTATATTTTGAGTACGGATAATATGTTACACGATTAATAGTCTCACGTCATAAACCTACAAAATTGGAGCTATCGACTTGTCAAATTACAGTATAATAGCAAATAGTTCTTAAGAGGTTTGATTTAACTTGTACCCTGCAGAGAAGTTATGAATGTAGAAGTTTACTTCTACATGGTTGTACATTTGTGCTTAAGTGAAGTGCGCTTTGATAATTTTAGCTGCCACATTTAGTTTATCAATAATTGCATTTAAGGGATTTTAAAATGTAAAGTTTTATTAATCATGTATGATAGTATGCAAAAGCATTTAAATTTCAAAAATAAATGCCAAAAATGAAATGACTAAGTTAGTACTCTTTTTCTTTAATGCCAAAATGAGAACACTAATGTCTGAAGAGTTAAGAAACTTCATAGAATTTAAATAAAATTTCTTTCGTTGAGTGTAGCAGATACATTTGAAAAGGTAAACTAACTAAATCAAACGAAACAATAAACAAAAATCTTGTAAGGCTTTGATGCTAATTATTACTTTAATGAATTTTACCTGTACTTCCACCAGGAGTCCTAGAGTGATCAAAAGGGTTTTTTGTAATTCCGTAAATGTGATTTGCACTATCCCACCACATACATCTCTCGGGAACATTGGTTACAGTTACAGGAATAGCTCCGGCTGCTCTATAAAAACCAGCGGCATCAGAATCGTTTTCTGCTTTTCGATCTTTTACTTCATAAATACCAGCTGTTTGAGATAAGCCTATGAAATAAGGAATAATTTCAATTAGTTTTCACGTAATAAACTGATAGATAGATAGCACAATAAAGGCAAAATTGATAAAAAGAAAATAGAGAAAAAGAAGAAAATTAATAAGTTTCTTTTCTTAGAACTCTCTGCAATAATTAAGTTTTGATTATGATTATTATTCCAATTTAAGGACTTAAAACTAAAAATGGTAGTTATTATAAAGTAGCCTTATATGTTATTAACTCATTAAATTACATTTTAGGATAAACATATTTAAATCAGTATCCAAACTTATTTACTTATATAAACTTGTTGGGCTAGTGAAAACGGAGAAATTACGAAGCAGATAACAAGATTAACTTTAGAAAAGAGACTTACGGTGGAAGAGAAAAAAAGGTACTAGTTTAATAGCAAAATTTTATCATGGTAATAGTAACGAGAATTAAAAACTGTGCAACCAAATCTGTGTTATAACAATTAAATGTTTCAGACTATTTCAATTGAATACCTTTTTTTATTTAGATATTCATCGTGAAGAAATATTTACTTACTGTAGCCATTTTGGTGGTTGGCTTGCTTCGTGAGCAGGGGGCTATTGTGTAACACTAATGTGTACCCATATAGCACTCATCTTCCGAAACCTTTCCCTAGGACCTCCCAAATGCATCCCTTTCTTCCGAGGGAAGGCGCGGATAAATAGGGGAAAGCCGAGGGAAATTCCATTCTAACATTCCTAACATTCCATACGTAGGAAGTCCTTCGGAAACATCGCCTACGGATATTCCTCCACCGGTCATCCGTTAGAAATCAATCCAATGGATTTTTCTCCCTGGTTATTCCGTAGGAGCATCATAATTACTTAAGTCTACGCGTGCAACCGGCTGAGCAATTGCGCATGCGCTAGATGTGCTTGACTAGAATTTAATTCTCACCAAAGAATTTTTGAAAAGTAACCCTGCTGAAGAAATTGCGCGGAGGTATAGATAGTTTGTTGCTTACAGGTGTAATCAAGTGTAGCTATGTTGACTGTTGTAATTTTGAGCTCTTCATTTATGATTCAGTAAATAAAGTAAGTTAATTGTTTTGAATAATTTTTTTCTGTTTATAATATTGTATCTATGTATTTTAAACGTTTACCACATTTTATAATTCTAATTATCTGTGTTAAAGTAGTTAATGATTTCCACGTTACTGAGTTAGGCCTAGTAACATACTTGTTCTCCGATTTTATCTTTGATATAATAAGAAATGTCTGTTAATAAAAAGAGTATTATTTTAAAGATACGATAGTTTATTATTTTGTATATAAAAACCATTAATCAATAAAAAAATTTCTAAACTTTTTAATTCTTTTATGTGTGCAGAATAGGTAAAATATAATAAAAGGTAGGTGTCAATGAACCATCATTTACAATAAAAATTTTTTCAAATGTAAATGATGGTACATTGACATTGATAATTACTTTTCTTTAAGATTATATAACCGTATGTCGTAAGGGGGTAATTGTAGACTTGTATATCACATTAAATTAAACTTAAGTAAGTTAATAAAAAATAGCACTGTAATAAATCCATCAAATGTTATCTGATATATTTATTGTTTCATTAATGGTGTAGTTTTTACTAAATGATGTATTTAGCGACATATTTTCAACTGAATCTACTTGTGCAAAATGCCAGTAAAGTTAAGATTATTTTATAATTATTTATATTTTTCATCAATAATTGATGAAATACCAGAATGCATATAAGTACAGTAAGATTTCCTAAGCAGAGGTTGTGCAAGCATTACCTTTAACTGTGGAGAAGTGATCAAGTTTAGCGATTATCTATGATGCAGGATGGCTCAGTGGGGCTTTAGTGAGGGAACTTGTTTATTATTTTGATATCAAGTCTTTCCTTCTATTGCCCCTTCTAAGCCGCATCGTTTGATTTCCACAAACAACTTGGAGTTTTTGGGAATCTAATAATGTAGATGTATTAGTAAGTATAATTATATGTATTAGTAGCCTAAGGGAAAGCCATAAGATTCAAATCTACCTCAGCACTTCCTAAAGAGAGTACCCGAGGAAAGTATGCGACCTTGAAACTTCCTCAGTTCTTCCTTAGGAGACTGCCCGGGGAAAGCCATCGGAAAGTATGAGACCTTGAAACTTCCTCATCATTCTTCCTCGGCTCCTCCTATGGAGTGACTTTCGGGAAGCCCGCCGGAGGAACTGAGGAATTGAAAGGTGCGGACATTTTGCATTACTGAGGAGCTCCGCGGGAGGAATTCGGGAAAAGTCGGGAGCTCCGGGGGAGGTTGAGCGATTCCTCCGTGGGAGCTACTACGGAAGAATTTTTGCTATATGGGTAAGACCCCTATTATGTAATATTAAATAGACTGTAATATACTGCTTCTCATCATAGAAGTCAAAAATTGAAATAAGAACTATTAAAATTTTAGTGGAGAATTTAACTAGTTTTACACAACAACTTAGCCCAAAATATAAATTTTAGCTGTGCTTTACAACAAATAGTGTGTGAACTCATAATAAAAAAGGAACTGAATTGAACACAAGTCATTGTACAATGCTAGAAATTTCTCTAAAGAAAATAGTTAAATAATGATTTATTTGATTGTTATTTTACCATATTAAAAAAAAAGAATACGGGTTGTGGTTGTGGGAATGGCGTGGCAGAAGTCGAATTCCTGGCCATACATGGCGCCACTGAAAAACAGGAACAATCGCCATACGACAAAAAAAAAGAATAAGTAAATAAAATGATAATAAAATTGTAAACTGTGAGAAAACAGTTTATTAACTGCTTTCATGTAATACGGATAAACAACCAAAATTTTATCGCACCCCTTAAGCCCACCTACTAAAGCCAGTTTGTTTCTTGCAGCTGCGTGCATATTATACCTTATTCACATACCTTATTCCTTCAACACATGGAAAGTTTTCAGTATCTTGCACTCCCCTATTTGAGACTCTGGGCTATTAGAATACGATACTCTCATTCACGCATAGATGGAAGCACCAAAAAGCTGCTTAATACAAAAAGTGTAGCATTTCTCATAACTTACGATGGGTGAAATAGCCAGATAAACTAATTAAACCACATTCCACGGTTCATTTGATAAATCACAACTCAATAAAAACCTAACTCAAATACCAATTACCTAACGAAAAGCGTAGCTCTAATGTCCAGTTAAATTTTATTTTTATGGTTCTGAAACCATGCTTTTTGTAAATGGTTACAAAACCGCATAGTTTTGTATTCATGGTTTTTTAACCATACTAGTTGTAAATGGTTTCGAAACCGTAATTGTTAAAAAAAGTTTTTTATCATAAAATTTGCGGTTAATTGGTTGGATATTCTGCTGCATGTTATTTTACCACGATTTTAAAATGAAAATTCTATTAGTGTAGTATTTCATAGCAATTCAGCATTGAGATGATGTAGGACGGCAAAACGTACCATTAAAAAAGAGTACGTTTTACGTAAACAATCATTAAAGGATATAACTCTTTCCAGATATTAAGAAATAGTTTTATTAAGCTATTCAGTAATTTTTAGATCAATTCTAATCACTGATAAAAATATTTTTGATGTCAGTAATTTGGTTGCAGTTGTTGTTGTAGTTCACTTACGTCGCACTAGAGCTGCACAAGAGGCTATTGGCGACGGTCTGGGAAGCATCCCTGAGGAGGATCCGAAGACATGCCATCGCAATTTTGATCCTCTGCAGAGGGGATGGCTCCTCCGCTTCTGTAGCCCGACGACCTGCACGCGAAGTCGAGCACTTTACTGTAGAACAGTTTAGCGAGCACTAATACCGCACATCCTTGGTCCCCACGCAGACTGATCCAAGTGCTCATCCACCCGCATACTGACCGCAGCCAGTGATGGCTGACTTCTGTGATCTGCTGGGAACCGTGTCTTAACGATCAGTCCACTACGGGACCGTCAGTAATTGGGAAAAGTTTGTTAATGAGAAAAAAGTATTAAAGTATTGAACAATTATCTTTGTCAATACTAGATTTAAAAATTACTTAGAGAATAAGTTTGTATTTGGTTGAAAATTCGATAGTAAGCAATATAAAGCATAAATTATAAAAATTCTCACATAAAACTCAATAAAACAATAAAGAGCAGTATCTCTAAATCAGACCTTTTACCCCAATTGATTCTTTACATGTAAATGGAACTCCTAAGAGTGGTTCATCTCTCTCGATTTCATCTACTGTCTTTTCTCCACTTTCCAAAAAACGATCCACTCTCCTGGCGTCTTCTAAAGCTTCATCATATCTTTCGTCAACAACAGCATTTATATAGGGTTCAACAAGACGAATTCTGTTAATATAAGCACGCATAACATCTTCGCACTTCAACTATTAAAGAAAAACAATCGCTACGTAAAATAAATGTAAGAAAATGTCAACTTATAAATTAAAATATTAGGTTCGGAAAGTATTTTCGTTTTTTTTTCCCAACAGAGAACTCTCTTATATTTTTTTCACAGCCAGCTTAACGCTTAAGTGGTAGAATACTTTTAAATGTTGAAAGTTGTTATAGGATAGATGTTATATGTGAACGAAATAGATTGCTTCTACGCAGAAAAGTTTGGTTTGTTTATTTTCAAATATAGAAAAGGAAAATCAGCATTTTCGGTATATTTTACTTTTTATTATCGAAAAGTTCAAAAATAAAGTTTAGGCTGACTATGAAAGACTAACTATTGAAAAAATAAAAGTGAGCCAGTTTAGGCTGATGAAGACGCAATAAAGGCATTAAATGATGCAAACTGGCAAATATCAATTCAAATATCAATTCGAACGTTGATAGATTGAATTTGTCGAATTCGACAGTTAATGATTATTTGAAACTCCTAGCTTTATTCTCAATGCTCAAACAAGTTATTCTTAAGGAGAGAAATTTGTGTCTTCGCATTAGACATTTGTGTTTGCTTCTCAAAGGTTAAGAGAATTATCAATTTTTAAAGCGTATCATCACTGGGGTCGAGAAATAGTTTGTTCATTTGTTCAGATTTTCACAGAAATTTTAGTAGGTAATACTTTTTCATCAAATGAGGACAAAAGTCACCAGCAGCAGTTTTTTCCATTAAGGAAAAAAAGTGCCAGATAGTGGGCAAAAAGTATTGGTCAAGAATGAACTAATTATGATTTAATAAAAAAAAATTAATCACTATAAGAAAATCTTATTCATTTTCAGGGAAAAAAATATAATTACTTTCCAAACAACTCATTAGAATCAAAATTGTGCATATAAAAATAATAGATATCTGGAATAAATGTAAACACATGTATATACACCGAAGAGCCATTACATCATGACCACCCTCCATCTATAACAATGGGCTCGCCCAGGTCTTCATGGTTTCTCGCTCAGGAACAATGTTTTTATGGGCAGCATTAGGACCCATAATCCTCATAGAACAATTCCTGACGTCTGTAAGCTACTTGAACATAGTTGCAGACCAGGTTCACCCATTCATGGCAACAGTTTTTCCTGCAGGGGATGGAGTTTACCAACAGGATAATGCACCATGTCATAAGGGTCGAATCATCATGGATTGGTTCGAGGAACAAGTCAAGTCTTGGCCCCCAAATTCACCTGACCTTAATCCAATAGAGCATTTGTGGTCCATTTTGGAAAACCAAATTCGTGCTACCCGCTCGCAATGTGAGGGAATTGAAGGACTAGTTGGTGAGCGTTTGGTACCAGATACCTCAGACTACCTATCAGCACCTTCTGGAATCGGCGGGTGCTAGCAGTTTTGAGGGCTAAAGGTGGTCCTACATGTTATTAGCGGGGTGGTCATAATGTAATGGCTCTTCGGTGTATATNTACATTTTAGGAAAAACATATTTCAATAAGTATCCAAACTTATTAACTTATATAAACTTGTTGGGCTAGTGAAAACGGAGAAATTACGAAGCAGATTTACAACAAGATTAACTTTAGAAAAGAGACTTACGGAGGAAGAGAAAAAAAGGTACTTGTTTAATAGCAAAATTTTACCATGGTAATAGTAACGATAATTTAAAACTGTGCAATTAAATCTGTGTTATAACAATTAAATGTTTCAGACTATTTCAATTGAATACCTTTTTCATTTAGATATTCATCGTGAAGAAATATTGACTTACTGTAGCAATTTTGGTGGTTGGCTTACTTCGTGAGCAGGGGGCTATTGTGTAACACTAATGTGTAAGACCCCTATTATGTAATATTAAATAGACTGTAATATACTGCTTCTCAACATAGAAGTTACAAATTGAAATAAAAACTATTAAAATTTTAGTGGAGAGTTTTACACAACAACCTAGCCCAAAATATAAATTTCAGCTGTGTTTTACAACAAATAGTGTGCGAACTCATAATAAAAAAGGAACTGAATTGAACACTAGTCACTGTACAATGTTAGAAATTTCTCTAAGGAAAATAGTTAAATAATGACTTATTTGATTGTTATTTTACCATATTAAAAAAAAAGAATACGGGTTGTGGTTGTGTGAATGGCGTGACAGAAGTCGAATTCCTGGCCATAGATGGCGCCACTGAAAAACAGGAACAATCGCCATACGACAAAAAAAAAGAATAAGTAAATAAAATGATAATAAAATTGTAAACTGTAAGAAAACAGTTTATTAACTGCTTTCATGCAATACGGATAAACAATCAAAATTTTATCGCACCCCTTAAGCCTACCTATTAAAGCCAGTTTGTTTCTTGCAGCTGCGTGCATATTATACCTTATTCACTTCAACACATGGAAAGTTTTCAGTATCTTGCACTTCCCTATTTGTGACTCTGGGCTATTAGAATACGATACTCTCATTCACGCATAGATGGAAGCACCGAAAAGCTGCTTAATACAAAAAGTCTAGCATTTCTCATCACTTACGATGGGTGAAATAGCCAGATAAACTAATTAAACCACATTCCATGGTTCATTTGATAAATCACAACTCAGTCAAAACCTAACTCAAATACCAATTACCTAACGAAAGGCTTAGCTCTAAAGTCCATTTAAATTTTATTTTTATGGTTCTAAACCATTATTATTATGGTTAATTTTTATAGTTCTAAACCATTATTATTATGGTTAATTTTTATGGTTCTAAACCATTATTATTATGGTTAATTTTTATGGTTCTGAAACCATGCTTTTTGTAAATGGTTGAAAAACGGCATAGTTTTATATTTATGGCTTTTTAACCATACTAATCACAAATGGTTTCAAACAAGTAATAGTAAAAAAATGTTTGTTTTTTTTTACCGTAAAATTTACTGCTAATTGGTTGGATATTCTGCTGCACGTTATTTTACCTCGATTTTAAAACGAAAATTCTATGAGTGCAGCATTTCATTGCAATTCAGCATTGAGATGATGTAGGAGGGCAGAACGTATCATTAAAAAAGAGGCATACCGAAATTCGTACGTTTTACGTAAACAATCATTAAGCGAAATAACTCTTTCCAGATCTTAAGATATGGTTTTATTAAGCTATTGAGCAATTTCTAAACCAATTCTAATCACTGATAAAAATATTTTTAATGGCAGTTATTGGGTTGTAGATGTTGTTGTAGTTCATATACGTCTCACTAGAGCTGCATAATGGGCTATTGGCAACGGTCTGGGAAGCATCCCTGAGGATGATCCGAAGACAAGCCATCACAATCTTGATCCTCTGCCGAAGGGATGGCTGTATCGCTTCGGTAGCACGATGACCTGCAAGCGAAGTCGAGCACTTTACGGTAGAACAGTTTAGCCAGGACCAATACCGCACACCCTCGGTCCCTACGCAGAGTGATCCAAGTGGTCACGCACCCGCACACTGACACCGCAGCCAGTGATGCTTGACTTCGGGGATCTGCTGGGAACCGTGTCTTGACGATCAATCCACTGCGGGACTGTCAGTAATTGGGAAAAGTTTGGTAATGAGAAAAAAAGATTAAAATATTGCAGAATTATCTTGGTCAATACTAGGTTTAAAAATTACTTAGAGAGTAAGTTTGCATTTGGTTGAAATATCGATAGTAAGCAATATAAAGCATAAATTATAAAAATTCTCAAATAAAACACAATAAAACAATAAAATGCAGTATCTCCAAATCAGACCTTTTACCCCAATTGATTCTTTACATGTAAATGGGACTCCTAAGAGTGGTTCATCTCTCTCGATTTCGGCTACTGTCTTTTCTCCACTTTCCAAAAAACGATCTACTCTCCTGGCGTCTTCTAAAGCTTCATCATATCTTTCGTCAACAACAGCATTTATATAGGGTTCAACAAGACGAATTCTGTTAATATAAGCACGCATAACATCTTCACACTTCAACTATTGAAGAAAAACAATCACTACGTAAAATAAATGTAAGAAAATGTCAACTTATTAATTGAAATATTAGGTTGTTTGGAAAGTATTTGCCTTTTTTTCCCAGCAGAGAACACCCTTAAATTTTTTTCACAGCCAGCTAAACACTTGAGTAGTAGAATATTTTTAAATGTTGAAAGCTGTTATTGGATAGATGTTATGTGTGAAAAAGTTAATTGATTGAAAGTTGACTAAGCAGTAAATTTTGGTTCGTTTATTTTCAAATATAGAAAAGGAAAATCAGCATTTTCGGTATATTTTGCCTTTTTTGCTATCGAAAGGTTAAAAAGTAAGGTTTAGGCTGACTATGAAAGACTAACTATTGAAAAATTAAAAGTAAGCCAGTTTAGGCTTATGAAGGCGCAATAAAGGCATTAAATGATGCAAACTGGCTAATATCAATTCGTGAGAACATTGATTGAATTTGTCGATGATTATTAATGATTATTTGAAACTCCTAGCTTTATTCTCAATGCTCAAACAAATTGTTCTTGAGGCAAGAAATTTGTGTCTTCGCCTTCGCATTAGACATTTGTGATTTGCTTCTTAAAGGTTAGAAGAATTATCGTATTTTGAAGCGTATCATCACTGGGGACAAGAAATAGGTTGTCCATTTGTTCAGATTTTCAGAAAAATTTTAGTAGGTAATACTTTTTCTTCAAATGAGGACAAAAGTCACCAGCAGCTGTTTTTTCCATTAAAGAAAAAAAGTGCCAGAAAGTGGGCAAAAAGCATTGGTCAAGTATGGACTAATTATGATTTAATAAAATAATATATTCACTATAAGAAAATCTCTTTTCATTTTCATGAGAAAAAAAAATTAAATTACTTACCAAACAACTCTGTAGAATCAAAAGTGTGCATGTAAAAAAAAAAATATATGGAATAAATGTAAGCACATGTATATACACCGAAGAGCCATTACATTATGACCATCCTCCATCTATAACAATGGGCTCACCCAGGTCTTCATGGTTTCTCGCCCAGGAACAATGTTTTCACGGGGCACATTAGGACCCATAATCCTCATAGAACAATCCCTGATGTCTGTAAGCTACTTGAACATAGTTGCAGACCAGGTTCACCCATTCATGGCAACAGTTTTTCCTGCAGGGGATTGTGTTTACCAACAGGATAATGCACCATGTCATAAGGGTCGAATCGTCATGGATTGGTTCGAGGAACATTCCAGTGACTTTCAAGTCATGTCTTGGCCCCCAAATTCACCTGACCTTAATCCAATAGAGCATTTGTGGTCCAATTTGGAAAACCAAATTCGCTCTACCACGCTACCCCCTCGCAATGTGAGGGAATTGCAGGACCAGTTGGTGAGCGCTTGGTACCAGATCCCTCAGACTACCTATCAGCACCTTGTGGAATCGGCGGGTGCTAGCAGTTTTGAGGGCTAAAGGTGGTCCTACATGTTATTAGCGGGGTGGTCATAATGTAATGGCTCTTCGGTGTATATATCCATTGATATGCCTGCATTATTATAAGACCTTAATAGGTTAAAATGGACTTAAAATAAGTTGAAGCATGAGTTTTTGTAAGTTTTAAATTCTACGAGAATACTTTGAATTCAATGAAAAGGGGATAAGGAAGCAAGTTTAAATGAATCAAATTATTACAAAATATTCTTATTTAGTTAGAAAGGTCTTAGCTACTGATATATGAGTAAGTAACCCACATTATTTTCAGAAAAGGTTTCATTAACTTATTCATAAGCTGTGTGTCCTAAAAACTGTGTGTCATACAACCCACAATGGAGTCATTTGCATTTGGAGTCATGCATGGAGTCATTTGGATTTGATATCAACTTCCAATGGAGTCATTTGCATAGATGTCAACGCTGCACTAAAAATAGTTAATGTTATAGCATATTTTATGATTTATTAATTGATTTTTAATTTCGAAAATTCGGTGAACGTTCATAAAATTGAGTGATGAAACATAGAACATCAATTATGTATTATGTTCAACTTATTTTAACCAGCCTGCGAAAAGTTAAATGTGTTCATGATAACCATTTTTATTTTTTCAATGTTTCTTCCATTCTCAGACAGCAAGATTTGGTATCAACAAGCATACAGCACTAGTTTTTCATTTCAAGTTCTCTCCCTATAATGGCGGATTGTTTCATATCTTTTGCAGTTGAAGAAAAAAAAAATCGGGCATACTTGTCAGCTTTTCCAGAAACAGATGCATCAGACAGAATTTATTTTCGATTTCAGCAACTCGACGATGAAAATGAAATATTTTTTTCATAATGATAAAATTCATTAAAATACATTCCGTCGCTTTAAGTATGCCCACTTAATATCAACTTTTATTTATGCGTACTATCATATTCATTATGCGTACTATCATATGCACGATAATGCCTAAAGGTGGTACTAAATTTCCCACAATAAATTACCATTAAAACTTTGACGCAGAATTTTTATAAAACAAATTTTTCATACTTTTTTCCCAAACACGGCTCACAACTGAAAAATAATTTTTAAATTTTAACTTGTCTGCAACTATTTAGATCTGAGAGAAACAGTTATTCCTCTCTGAAATTTCTTTAATTAACAAAAATAAATATTGAAAAATTTGTGAATAAAAAAAAAATTGTAACTAATTAAATCCCGATAATCTAACGGTTTTTTTAGAAAACCATAAGACTGTTCTTTACAATTAAATATACCAATACTTGTAACTAGAGAATCAGAAAAAAACTGTATGAAAAAGTCACCGGTGTCTCATCTACGTTAAAGGGTTAAGCAAACATCAGTAAAAAATTGGCGAGCAAGTATGTATCGAACGGCACCTTACCTTAAAAAACATTAATGCAAGAAATATCACGCAACAGCATATTGGCAGTAGTCCTTAAACTTAAAGAAACTTGAAAGGAATACCGGGCAATAGTATGTCAGGATAATGGTATCTTATCTGAAATAACACCGTTAGTGGGAATATTATGGCTTTCCTACTTTTCCAAACCTGAAAAGAACAGGCAACAAATCACTTCCTTTAAGGAGGCTGCTTGGTTTTAAAAGAATAGCGCTGAATACTTGTTGTTTTGTAATTTTGCATATTCAGCAACAACTAGTTAGACTTTGATAGTATTTTTGCTTTTCAGTGCTTAGTAAATTAATTTATGACATGCAATACTCATACTTTTTGGAGACAAGAATTTTGACAAGAGCTGTCATATCGGAACATCCTGTATATTATTTACTATTTATGCGAATAAAATATTTTTAACAATTTCGGTAAATGTAAAAATTGCCTGCTTTTTTCGAATTTCGTCTGCTATATTTGTGGCTGACATTCGAAGGACTTTGTGGCTTATAGGTGGCACTAGCTTTGTTTGATTTTGATAGTATTTTTATTTTTCCGTGCTTTGTAAATTAATTTATGACCTGCAATACTCATACTTTTTGGAGATCATTTTTGACAAGAATTTTGACAAGAGCTGTCATATCGGAACATCCTGTTTATTATTTATGTGAATAAAATATTTTTAACAATTTCGGTCAGGTTGTTACATCTTCCTTCCATTAAATTAAATTTTTACCTTGCGATAGATGGCGCAGTGTGCGCATCTGTAAGGATACATAGCTTTTCTCTTCAGTCTTTTGTTTGTTGTCGTTTCGTTAAGTTGAAATAAAAAACACTAAAAAATATTGGCTCGCTCTGATTCATTTCAAACCAATAGCCAAAAAGATCCCGAGATACAAAACAGGTTAAAAATTACCTGCTTTTTTCGAATTTTGTCTGCTATATCTGTGGCTGACATCAAAAGGACTTTGTGGCTTATAGGTGGCACTGGCTTTGTTCTTCCCATGAATATGCGATAAATATACTTCAGGACTATTTGGAAAATAGGTCGAGTCAAAATTAACACAACTCTCACAAAGACTAATATCTGAAATTATAAAACTTTAAATTTGAAGACAAACAATAATGAACATTTTAGCTTACTTTGCTTACAGCTTCTCAGGTGAAGATTGGTTTTACTCATTAAAAAAAGGCAAATTTATAATTTAAGTATACATGGATAATACAGGGTGTCCTATATTAAGTTGACAATTTTTAAAATGGTTTATAGTTATGGTTTAAAAAATTATGGAGTAAATTCATATGACAGGATATGAATGTTTCCTTTCAAAGTTCAAATTTGTAGTTCAAAAGTTTTTTATTAGAAGGTGCTGCTAATAGTATTAAAGCTAATAATATTAAAGAATAATAGTTGAAAATCATATCACCTTTTTTTAAATATTTCAGTGAATAAAAATCGCCTTTTGACTTTTACGAATTATCCATCATGATACAGTATCGCATATAATAATTGGATAGAGAAAGCTTTAAACATCAAAACACATACTTCCAAAAAATTACTAAACTATCCTTCGAAATGTAGTTTTTTCTTTAATATTGAGGGATCCAGACCTTTAGCCTATCTCACCGAAATAAAGTATTTGGGCAACACTTTTGGGCAACAGTTACCTCCTCTCACTCATATTTTAACATTCTAGAATACGCTGGGGTCACTTTTATTGACCCATGCATTCTATAAGTTCTAATTTTTAAAGCACTAACTAAACATGTGCTACAAAAAATGATAAAAAGCTTTAAATTGTCATGACAAAAATAATCATTATTTAAAACTCAAAAGTGTTACATTAACAGTTTCTTTAGAAGCGTATGATAGAATTTAATTTGAGGTCACTTTTTGACCCACGCATTTCTTAAAGTTCATTCAGGCTGCTCGCGTTCTCTCGGGAACAAAAGTCCAGATACGTGGAAAAAAGGCGTGTTCATTCAGAGAAAATAGGTTTCAGTGTCTGATTGCTTTTTGCGCACTGTACATGTTAGACTTTTTCGAAGTTCTAGAACAGAGTGGGGGAACATTTTTGATGTGAGAGGTTACTGCAGTGATAAAGGTGGCCGCTTAAGCAGATTTGCTATAAATGCCACATTTATGAAAATATTGATGCCTTTTTACAGTTTTATCAATTAAGTGCATTTTATAGAAATAATTTAAAAAAACATTAAGTCATTTATTAAAATACAATTTCAACAATATAAAATAGTTTTGCATTTACATAACATTAACTATTATCACATTAATATTTCATAATTTAAAAAAAAGCAATTACACAAATTTTTATACTGTTTCAAATAAAAATAATAGACGCATTTTTCAATAAATACAATACAAATTCTTGTCGAGATTCACCTTTTAAATTGAAATATTTATGTTCTTTATGAGTCAATTAGTGTTCATTTGCTTACCCTTTTTAAAAAATAGTCAAAGCTTCATAGAATAATAAACACACCATTTTATTTTTTACAGAAGTAAAGAAATAATCAAACTCTCTCTCTAGATTAAATGTTTTGTTTCCTTTGTATAATTTTCTTCTGAAGCAATTTTACATAACGGAGAAAAACGAATGTCAAGTAGTATCATTAAAAAAGCGTATATTTAGAAAAATTAAATAGAACCATTTTAGTAAAATTTTTTAATTAGTAAGGCAATGACTAGATTTTCACAATAGTATAGCAAGACGGGATGAGAATGTTATAAGCCCGCACAGATAACTATTAATCACTAATTTCACTGCATACATGTTGCTGAAAGGTGCGAGGCAGATGGAGAAAAGTAGGTATAGTCTGTCTCTCAGAATAGTCACCGTCACTGTGAATGGTAGATGAAAGTTGCTATAGCAACTGGGTTTGTGTGATTCACGTAGGAGTGAATCGTGGCCAAAAGTATGAACAAAACAGAATTTTAAAATTAGGACGTAGTAAAACTATAAAAAGCACCAGAATGACAATAATTTCAGACAATGAAATTACAGCACAGCTGCACAAGCCAACTGGAACTGCAACATAGCAGCATTCTAATTCGTGTTATAATCAATAGATGGCAGCACTTAATTTAATTCTATTAATTTTCAATTTGTCGTAATCTATATAACTTAAATATTAATTAGTGCAAGAGCTGTACAAAAGAAACGCACGAAGGTCGTAGGTTTCTTTACACTGTTCTTGAATTTGACACCAAGCAATTATTTAAAAGAATTACATTATTTAGTAAAAACATTCATGAATATATTTTATGTAAATGAATTACTTGAAAAAAATTATTTTTAACATAAAATAAGAGCTGCAACTGTGTTTAATTTCAAGAAGAAAAAAAAAGGTTTTACTCACCGTTGACATGTTTCTTGATAAACTTTTCTTGAAGAATCAGAACGTATCCAGCGTTTCTAAAGTTATGATAAGCAATGGAAGGAATGCTGAATAAATATTCTTAGCCTGAGTGCAGTTACTTACTTTTAGAGAATAAATTAACTGATAGAACTGAAAGTATCAAATTTAATCTTTGATATCACTAGATCATTTGTTTGCGCTTATGATAAGTAAAAAAACGAAGTAGAAGTATTGCCATTTCTGAGATGTCGTGAGTAACAACGGTGTGTGTTATTGCGCAGTATCGCATTCTCATTTATGAAAGTTCTTATATACGTAAAGTAATAAGTTTTTGCATTTATGCTATCTAATCAGAACTATATAACGCCAACTAAAATTATTCATTTTAGTTTTCAATATTAGTAAAGCAGGTAATTTTTTAAGGATAACAATTTTTATCTTATAAATTAAAAAATAGTAAAAATTTATCTAAATTATTTGGGAGGAAGAAATAATTTGTGAGGTAGAAAAATGCGAAACTAGTAGGAATATTCAAATGCCCTGTTTGAGAAATATAACAATGTACTAAACCATTGCTTTGCCCAAAACATCTATACCCTGCTTTAGTTTCAAGATCTGGGTGTTTGGTATTTTGTAGGAGAGAGATCTTATCTGAAATAAC